TTGCAGACCGCTAGGTAGATTACTAGTTAGATCCCTGCTCTTCGCCACAACCCAGGAAGATCACGTCTGTCCAGAGAGTCCAGTGGGTACAAAGTCAAAGTGACCCCCAATGTTGCCTGCTTAAAGTCCTCCATGAATCTGGGAGAACTTTAAGTAGGCTCACACCTGTAATCACACCTGTAATCCCAGCACTTTGGGAGGTGGAGGCAAGAGGATTGCCTGAACCCAGGGGTTTGAGACCAGCCTGCGTAACATGGAGAGACCTCATATCTACAATAAATTAAAATTAGCCAGGTGTGGTGGCGTGTGCCTGTGGTTCCAGCTACCTGGAAGGCTGAGGTGGAAGGATCACCTGAACCCAGCAGGTTGAGGCTGCGGTGGCCATGAGTGTGCCACTGCACTCCAGCCTGGGTGACAGAGTGAGACTCTGAGTAAAAAAAAAAAAAAAGTCCGGCATGAGCTCCCACCCTTGCAAAATGAAGCTCCAACTTGTCATTGGAGCCCACAAGGTCCTAGATGATGGGTATCCATCTCTTCCTGGTTTATCTCCAGCTCATACCACCAGTGCCACGTCCAAGTCCCACCTCACTCCGTCCTCACTCCTCTGCTGCTCACTCATCCCGTGGGGTTCTGCATGATCATGACCTTCACTGTGAGCAAGTCCCTTAAACCAGCCATTTTCTTTTTTTTGAATGAGAGTCTTACTCTGTCACCCAGACTGGAGTGCAGTGGCCACTCCCGGCCACTGCAGCCTCGACCTGCTGGGCTCCAGCGATCCTTCCGCCTCAGCCTTCCAAGTAGCTGGAACTACAGGTGCACGCTACTATGCCCGGCTAATTTTTTTGATTTATTGTGGAGATGAGGGCTCGCCAAGTTGCCCAGGCGGGTCTCGAACCCGCGGACTCAGGCAATTCACTTACCTCGGCCTCCCAAAGTGCTGGGATTATAGGCTGAGCCACCAAACCTGGCCAAACCAGCCATTTTCAAGGTGTGGTTTGGGGAATACTTTCAGGGATACATGAGCTCAGGACTCTTTTCTTAATAACACTAGTGTTTGCCTTTTATACTCTCATCTCCCATGAATGTATAAAAAGTTGACTTGGATGGTTTTAGATTCCATATTGCAACTAGACTTTTAAAAACTACCAAGTTTTTGTCAAATTTTGGTGAGGTATTAAAGTATCAAAGAAAAATATCCACAGTTATATGAAAAGATGATTAAAATACTTTTCCTTTTTCCAACTACATATCTGTATGAGGCAATATTTTTACGTAATTTAATCAAAACAACATTTTGTGACAGACTGAATGAGAACTGAGAGTCCAGTTGTCTTCTGTTAAGCCAGACATTAAGCAGAATTGCAAAAATGTAAAGCAACATCACTCTTCTCACCAATTTTATTATTTAGGAATTGTAGTTTTTTATACATATAGTTTGTTAACAAGTGCTGGGTTTACTACTGAACTTAGTCATTGATTGATTTCTTTAAAAAGTTCTCCACTTTAACTTCTGATCTAGTAAATATCAAAGGATCTAACCCACATAGAGTAAAGCTCTTTGGGGGTCCTTAAGAATGTTTGAGTATAAAAGGAGGGGTCCTGTGACCAAAAGACTTGAGAACCACTGTCTTACACCAAGCTCACTCAGCCGGCAGAGTTGAACTGTAACTTAGCTATGTCACTACTATTACACACTGATTCTACCAAAGTAGCAATTTTTTTTTCTGACTTGGGGTCTTGCTCTGTTGCCCAGGCTGAAATGCAGTGGCACAATCATGGCTTATCGCAGCCTCGACCTCCTGGACTCAGGCAATCCTTCTACCTCAGTCTCCTGGGTAGCTGGGACTACAGGTGGATGCCGCCTCACCTGGCTAATTTTTTGTAGAGATGAGGTCTTGCTATGTTGTCTAGGCTGCTCTCAAACACCTGGGCTCAAGCAATCCTCTTTGCCTCAGCCTCCCAAAATGCTGGGATTATGCCAAGTATGAGCCACCACACGTGGCCTATATTAGTGATCTTTTCACATATCTGTCTCTTCCATTACTCTATGCACCTTCTGCTGGTGCCTATTCATCTTCAACACTACCCTCCTCTGCCCCCACCAGCGTCTGGCACAGAGTAGAAATTCCAGATAAAATGAATGAGGTAAGAGATAAGCCCATGTGGACAACATCACAGGCTGCCAAGTAAGTGGCCCACTGATATTCACAAGATGGGTAGATGAATACACGCATTATCTTTTTTAACTGACTCAAGTTGTTATTGAGATGCTGACCTGAATTTAGACATAAAATATAAACATTTCAAGAAAACATAAGATGCAAACAAAAATTTAACCTATGAAGTAATTCTGCGGTTTCTGCTCTGTTAACCTTTCAGACACATGCTTGCAAGAAAATAACCAGTAAAACACAACAGGCTTGTGGATGCCATAAATGCAGCCAAAATGGTTTGCCACAGAAAAAGTGAAACGTGGACTGGGCAATGTTCTTAACAAAAATGCCGAAAAGCCAAGAGAGAAAACACACATAAAACACAAGACACCACCAGACACGGTGGCTCATGATTGTAATCCCAACACTTTGGTAGGCCAAGGTGAGAGGATTGCCTGAACCCAAGAATTAGAGACCAACCTGGGCAACTTGACAAGACCTTGTCTCTACAATAAATAAAAAGTTAGCCAGGTGTGGTGACACAAACCTGTAGTCCCAGTTACTTGGAAGGCTGAGGCAGAAGGATCACCTGAGCCCAGCAGGTCAAGGCTGCAATAGCTGTGAGCATGCCACTGCACTCCAGCCTGGGTGACAGAGTGAGACTCTAACGTAAAAAAACAAAAAAGAAAACCATATTGTAAAAATGAAGAGAAAGTCACATGGTCAAACAAGAACTACCCATGAACATGCTTTTCCGTCTTTGCTCCCTGTCAAGGTAAGACCAAAAGCAGACTACACTTGAGAATCCAGGCCAAAGTTGTAGTGTTTGCCTTCCTCACGTGTCTTCCTTGAGTGTCTGCCTCACTCAAGCATGTTCACAAACCAAGCAGCCTCCAGAACATCTGGGAGGGGCCACCGCACGGCTGGTGGAGTAGAAACATGCATGCCCACTTCCAGTCCTGGGGTAGGGGAGACAGGCATGTTCCATCTTTTTTGTTCCTAACACATTCTCTAGCAAAATGAGAAAAAGGAATCAATGTTGGATGCCAGCTTGATGCCTTTGGCAGATTGAGCTTCTACCACTTCAGAGCCTGACCTTAGGGGCAGTAAGGTCAGGTACGTGGTGTGTGTGTGTGTGTGTGTGTGTGTGTGTGTGTGTGTGTGTGTATGACAGAGAGAGAGAGAGAGAGAGAGAGAGAGAGAGAGAGAGAGAGAGAGAGGAGAGAGGAGAGAGATTTGGAGCCAAGAGAAGTATGATTTTCCAGTTAAGTATGGGGTAGCTCATCCTGAGACCAGCTCCATCAAAAAACCCAACTGTGGGCTGGGCATGGTGGTCACACCTGTAACATCAGCACTTAGGGAAGCTGGGACAGGAGGATCGCTTGAGCCCAGAAGTTCAAGACCAGCCTGGGCAACATAGTGAGATCACTACAAAAAATAAAAAAACTTAGCCAGGTGTCATGGTGCACACCTGTGGTCCCAGCTACTCAGGAGGCTGACACAGAAGGCTCACCTGAGCCCAAAAGGTTGAGGCTGCGGAGAGCCGTGATTGTGCCACTAAACTCCAGCCTGGGTGACAGAATGAAACCCTGACTCAAAGAAAAAAACAAAAAAAAAACACAACTGTGCAATCACTGCTGGTGATCCAGAAACCAGGCATTTTCAGTTCTATATATAGATATATTTATCATCTTGACATTTGTTTTAAAAAACCCTCTAATGAACACACTAAACATCTCCCAGTCCTTTTCACATGGTTACATCACTATGGAAACGGACTGTCAGGAACCTGAAACCATGGAAGACCCAATATCACTGGGTCATCATTTAGTCATTATCCGTAAAGATTCTGACATCTCAAAACAGGGCTCTTCAAATTCCTTTGGTCCCTGATTGTAATTGTGGATGCTGAGGCTGGCAGGTGACTGGGCAGGTCTCTCAGTAGCCTTCATGGGGGGAAGGTTCTAACAGCTGGCAAACATGATATAAAGGTAAAATATAGTTTCAGAGAATATCACAGAATGATAGCAGTGGTAAAGCTTCACTTACTACCGACCTACAATTTACATATATTCAACTTACATTTAGTCCTCACAATAATATCCCAACGTTGGCATGAACATTCCCATTTTATAGATGAGGAAATTGAACCTCAGAGAGATTACATCACCTAAGTGTACACATACAAGTAGAAGAGGTGGGACTCGAACCCAGATCCATGCCAAAACCCATTCTCTTTCCACTGACCAACCTTCCTAACATGTCCACACGCCAGGCTCATCAAAGCCCTTGTTTAGACCCAGCTGCTTTGCCTGTATTCGTAGGTTCTCATGACATTTCCTCTGTCTCAGAATTATTTTCAAAAGGAAAAATTTGCCTGAAGAAACCATGTTCATCGGACTGGAATAGGCCCCTGACGCTTTCCATTCCTGATATCTTGACTCAGCCTGAAAGGTCCCCACCTCTCTTCTGTGCCTCCTCTTCCCTGTCACCATGCAGGGAAACATTGTTAACAGATCTAGCAGGGCAAAGCCAATAAAAAATCATCAAAACACCTTTACCCAGAGAAGTCCAATGAGGGCCTTTGCAGATGAGAAACTCTGCTTTGCACAGTGGAGAAAAGTCATGAACCCCAGATGGAACCAAAGCCTTCAAAACAGAAGAGGTTTCATTTTGTTTTGAAAACCCCTGTGCAACCAGATCCTCAACTCCACGTGCACTCATTGCCAATGAGATTCGAGGGCCCAGGGTTAGGACAGCTTCCCCCAGGGATGCCAGTCCCCTGTCCCAAGCCCTCCCCTCGCCAAACCCGCCTGCCGGCTTCTGTAGGTGGGACCCATCACTCACCCAGCAGGGCTGTCTGCGGGTGGGTCCGAGTGTGTCTGTCTCTAGAGTTGGCCCTGGCACGAACCCGTTCCCAGGCCTCAGCAGGGAGGACGAGGATCTGTCCGAGGATCAGCAGCAAGCAGCCCACAAGCATCTTTTCCATCTTCAAGACGAGGAAGAGGAGAGAGGCTGTCACAAACACAACACAAGAAGGGGCATGGTGAGATTTCTGGGTCTCCCTGAACTTTGGGGACTGCAGACCCATCACCCTTTCAGGGTTCAAACAGGCCACTTGTACTTAAAATGCCATTTGTGTGTTTGGCCCTTAAGAGGTTAAATAACCTTGTTGGTAGGCTCTTCTTGGATACTCCAAGCAAGGCATGCATAGTTGGAATTTTTCATTACTAAAAGATTCAATGGAAAACTTGAGAAAAATCTATCCTGATGTTTCTTATCAGTGAAGTGTATTACCAATTATCCATAGTCACATTTTATATCTTGGATTTAAACAAGAAAAAAATGATGTCTGAGAATTTCAAGTGGCAATATTCTTTCAGTCTAATAATAGCAGATGACAGACATTGATACATATCAATTTCCCCAAATTTAATGTCTAACTGACATAAGGCAGCATCATATAGCCAACTTCCCTTTCCTGCCTCCCAGTCTCCCAGCTTCCCTGTCTCCCATATACATTTTTTTTTTTTTTTAGTTGGAGTCTCACTCTGTCACCCAGGCTGGAGTGCAGTGGCACACTCACGACCACCCCAGTGTCTGCTTGCTGGGCTCCGGCAATCCTTCCACCTCAGCCTTCCAAGTAGCCAGAACTGCGTTTCCATGCCCGGCTACTTTTTGATTTATTGTAGAGATGAGGTCTTGCCAAGTTGCCCAGGCTGGTCTTGAACCCACGGGCTCAGGCAATCCACTCAACATCCCAAAGTGCTGGGATTACAGGCTGAGCTATCGAGCCCTGCCTCCCACACACAGTGGCTCACACGGGTAATCCCAACACTTTGGGAAGCCAAGGCAGCAGGGCTGCTTGAGCCCAAGAGTACAAGACCAGCCTGAACAACATATAACATAGCAAAACCTCATCTCTACAAAAAAAAAAAAAAAAAGCAAAGCTGGGTTTTATGGTACACACCTGTTGTCTCAGCTTCTTGGGAGGATGAGGTGTAAGGATGGATCACCTGAGCCCAGGAGGTCAAGACTGCAGTGAGCTGTGATTGTGCCACTGCACTCTAGTGTGGGTGTCAGAGTGAGACCCTGACTCCAAAAAAAGAGGAGGCTGGCACAATGGTTAAGGGCTTGGACTATGGTGCTAGACTGACTGAGTCCATGTGCCCAGGTGCTACTCTAAATGTTTTACCTGGATGAACGCACTCAACTACCTAATATTATTCCCATAAGGTTCCGGAGGGTTCAGTGGCTTGCGCATGTAGCAAGTGTCAGAGTCAGGATTCAAACCCAGGGTGAGCAGGCCAATGTTCCAATGCATTGATCAGCAGAAAACTCAACGAGCTGAAAGGCAAACTCCCAGAAACTAATTCATGAAAGGCCTAGCTGTTTCACTGTCAGAGACAGGGCAGGGGTGGAGCAGGGACCATTTCCCAAAACTTGAAAAAAAGCAACCTTCAGTCAGTCATTCAGTGAACTGTCTGGTGAGCAAATTTCTTTCAAGAATTGACCTGGAAATGAACCCAGGCCTGTTGACCTCCAGCATCCACAGTTTTTCACACTCACTGTATTGAATCTGCTGTTTTTTTAAAACTATGTATTAAAATTACATTAAACATAGTGAATGTTTATTCAGCACTCACTATGTGCTGGGCACTGAACCAAGTGCTTTAAATGTATTAAGTGATTTCATTTTTATAGTAACTCAGAGAAGGTCAGTAACTTGCCCAAGGTTATGTGTTTCATAAAGAGGAAGCTCAGGAATCCATGTGCTCATTACAGATAACCATACCAAGCCCCCTTTTTAAGCAGTGCAACTCTTCACTAATTGGACTGGGCCCTCTTCATAACTTTAACTCAGAGATTCCTTCTGATAAAACAGAATACCTTGCCTCTTTCTCTAATTATTTTTTGTTCTTTCTATTTCTTTCTTTCCTTTTCTTTCTTTCTTTTTTTTTTTAGAGACAGGGTCTCACTCTGTCATCCAAGCTGGAGTGCCAAGGCACAATCACAGCTCACAGCGGCCTCAAACTCCTGGACTCAGGTGATTCCCTGCCTCGGCCTCCTAAATTTAGCTGGGACTACAGGCGTGTGACACCACACCTGACTAATGTTTTGATTTTTTTGGAGAGATATGGTCTCATTATGTTGCCTAGGCTAGCCCTGAACTCCTGGGCTCAAGCAGTCCTCACACTTCAGCCTCCCAAAGTGCTGGGATTACAGGCATGATCCACTACACCTGGCCATTTCTCTAATCTTAAGCCTAATATCTACTTTCAAGCTTCCTTGCTTGCTATTTATTTATTTTTATTGTATTGTATTGTATTTTTTAAATACAAGGCCTTGCTCTCTTGCTCAGACTAGAGTGCAGTGGCACAATCATAACTTCACTGTAACCTTGAACTCCTGGGCTCAAGCAATCCTCCTGCCTCAGCCTCCTGAGTGGTTGTGACCACAGGATTTTATGCACTATTAGTGTGTTACATAGTTTATATGTGATTTGTGATTTTATTGCTATTCCCCTTCCTCCAAACTGAGCAGATTGCAAAGTCCATGTTTATTTGTTTCAAAATGTATACAAATGCTCTCAAGATCTACTTCCACTTTGACACATTTTCACTTGAATGAACACTTAGAATAGATGTGGTGGAAGATGACCATTTCCAAAAGCCAAACACCACTGCATGTGGTTTGTGTTCATTGTGGATTTCAAGAGGTGTTTGTGTTTTCAAGTCGCCATGGCTAACCAAAAGGCATTGAGGAGAGGTAGTCAAAACTAAACAAAACTAAATACTTGTAGCTGCCTAATCCCAGATAGGCTACTTACCCTCTCTCAGCCTGAGTTTTCTCATCTTTAAATTGGGGATTACAATAGACCAAGTTGTACTGTTTAAATCAGTTCATATATAATATACAGCACTTAAAATACTGCCTGGCACATAGTAAACGCTGAATAAATGTTAGCTATTTGTTATTATTATTGTCATCACGCTGCAATCAAACCAATCAACAGAAAGTATACATTGCTAATTTTGTCAAAGTTATTAAATTGACTTGTATGTATACTTATGAATATTACTATAATAACACAATGACATGCCTATAACTTTTAAATATAGATTAATATTTGAAAGCATTTACAACTTTTTTTTGTCAAAATGTAGTGGTATGGCAAGACATAGACTGGTAGAGAATATTTGCAAAACAAAACATATATATTGTCAATATACTTATATCTGGACCCTATAAACTTTTTTTTTTTTTTGAGTTGGAGTCTTACTCTGTCACCCAGGCTGGAGTGCAGTGGCACACTCACAGCCACTGCAGCCTCCACCTGCTAGACTCAAGCAATCTTTCCACCTCAGCCTTCCAAGTAGCTGAAACTACTGGTATGTGCCACCACTCCTGGATAATTTTTTTATTTATTGTAGAAACGAGATATGCCAAGATGCCCAGGCTGGTCTCGAATTCCTGGGCTTAGGCAATCCTTTCACCTCCACCTCCCAAAGTGCTGGAATTACAAGCATGAGCCACTGTGCCTAGCCCAGAGTCTATAAACTATTATAACTTAATAATAATAAAACAGTTCACTTAAAAATGTGCAAAAGATCTAAACAGTCACATCACCAAACAAGATATTTAGATGACATATGAAAACATGTTCACCATTCTTATTCATTAGAAAATATAATTTAACACCACAATGAGATGCCATGTCAAATCCATTCAAATAGTTAAAATTAAAAAGACTAGTAGGCAGGGCGTGGTATGTCACTCATTAACAAGCAAGATTATATGGCAGGAAGCAGATCAGTGGTTCCAGGGGCTGGCAGTGTGAATGGGGAATCAGTTACAAAAAGGCATAGGGATATTTGGAAGGTAATGGAAATGTTTACATCATGATTGTAGTGGATCTATACATTTGTCAAAACACATCAAATTGTACATTTAAAATGGATACCTTTTACTGTATATAAGATAAACTTCAAAAAGGTTGTTAAAAAAAAATAAAGGAATAGGGACATCAGGCACAGTGGCTCACATCTGTAATCCTAGCACTTTGGGAGGCCGAGGCGGGAGGATTGCTTGAGCCCAGGAGTTTAAGACCAGTCTGGGCAACATAGCAAGACCTCATCTCCATGAAAAATAAAAAAAATTAGCTGGGCATGGTGACACATGCCTGTAGACCCAGTTACTTGGGTGACTGAGGCGTGGTGAGCTATGATCATGCCACTGCACTCCAGTCTGGGCGACAGAGTAAGACCCTGACTCCAAAAAAAAAGGGGGGGGAAATGGGGAGAAGAATACTATATAGATACCAATATAAAACATATAGCA